GACCATTTCATTACATTTTACATTTACATTTTAGTCATTTAGCAGACGCTCTTATCCAGAGCGACTTACAGTTAGTGAATACATATTTTTTTATACTGGCCCCCCGTGGGAATCGAACCCACAACCCTGGCGTTGCAAACGCCATGCTCTACCAACTGAGCTACATCCCTGCCGGCCATTCCCTCCCCTACCCTGGACGACGCTAGGCCAATTGTGCGCCGCCCGTGAGTCTCCCGGTCACGGCCGGCTGCGACAGAGCCTGGATTCGAACCAGGATCTCTAGTGGCACAGTTAGCACTGCGATGCAGTGCCTTAGACCACTGCGCCACTCAGGATTTCATCACATGACTCCAAATGTATTTTAATATGATAGTTATTATATAACAATTGCGTATAAAGGCATTTCCACTGCCATTTCTCACGTAACATTTTTCACAGACACAAACATATCCCAGTATAGAAACCTCTTTCTGACCAATAGAAAGAAGCTGGTCATCATCCTCTCTACGTGACAAATGTCCAACGCACAATGTCTTCATACAGCATCAAAGAAATTGGAGGAACTCTCAGTATCACTAATGATTAAGTTACGGGCGTTATTGGTGGATGACATGGTTACCTGCAGGAAGTCCCCAGAGTGCTGTGCATAGAGGAGAGCCAAGTTACCCTACTTGGAACAGAATGGACTCCTGTATCTCCTGTCTCTGTCAGCTGAGCAGAGAACAACTTCACCACCAGATATTAGTGACAGTGGACTTGTAAAAGTTATCATCTTTATTTAAATCAGATTGTATCTCAAAGTATGCGGTTAGCGATTTACAATATTGGCTATTATTTTACCTTCCACTATCATCTGTATGGTCCAAAATCCGGTTAGAGTGTAGTCATGCCATGATTGGTCCAAAAATCAGAAACAATTGCGTTTCAGTAGATTGCTACAGGCTATGTTCATTGGCTAGAATTTCCCCCTGTTAGTAAGCAGTTGCGAGAGCAAAATGAAACATTTGTGTGAGAAAATACTGCTCGCTCAAAGTCACACTCGCAAGCTCTCAAGTTTAATTTGCGCGCACCACGCTAGCCTGCACTCACGGGACCTGTCCTCTGTTCGCTCGACCACATGCGCAATCTAGCGCCCGTTCGACGTTTGAATCGGATTTGACACCATACTCTGAGACCACCCATTTAATGGAATTTTGAAACCAGTAGTGACTGGCGACTGACTCGGCATGCACACTAAAGCAGGAAATCTCCTCTCTACTACTTCCTGATTCCCCAAAAAGGGGGATGGGTTTGCCCCATTCTGGACCTACGGGTCCTCAAAAGCTATCTGACGAAGTTCACATTCTGTATGCTTATGTTCAAGGTGCTGTCTCGCTCTATTCGTCGAGGTGACTGATTCAACTCAGTCGACCTGCCAGAATACTTATTTTCACATAAGCTTCCTGCCAGCACACAGGAGGTTTCTGAGGTTTGCTTTTCAAGGCACATCCTACGAATACCTCGCTGTCCCATTTGGGCTAGCACTAGCTCCCTGAACGTTCAGCAAGTGTGTAGAGGCAGCTCTCACACCCCTGAGAAACAAGGAGCTGAGAGTCTGCGCCTACATATACGATTACCTGCTTTGTTTCCCCATCCCGGGAACAATCGATACGAGACACAACTTCCCTTGTAACCTGCCTCTCCGAGCTAGGGTTCAAGATCAATCAGTAAAAGAGCTGTTTGGTGCCAACACAGAGAATATAATGCCTAGGCGTAATGCTTGATTCGCTCTCTTGTCAGGCAACACTCGGAAGACCGCATCGCGTCGTTCCAATAGTGCGCTCGGTCACGTTCAAGATGTGCCTCCGAGTGCTGCGGTTGATGGTGTCCACCATCTCTGCCTACTGAGGATGAGAGACTTCCTGTGTTGGGTGTTTGCCCAACATTCCATCGCCAGAGAGAGGTGACTTCCGCATGTCTTTCGTCTCTCAGTCATGAGGAAAATGCAAAAAACTGAGTATGGACCTCACAACTCCGCATTGCTCACATAAATTACCTTGAATTGCTGACAGTGCTTCTTTCAATAAAAAACGTTCTACCCTCCCTTCGGAATTGTCACATCTTGATCAGAATGGACAATACGACTGTAGTGGCGTACATCAACCGCCAGGGTGGCACTCGCTTCCTGTGCTTACACAGACTATGCGTCAGGATTATTCTGCTGAGCAGATCACACCTACTGTCCCTACATGCGACTCATGTCCCGGGCATACTGAACGTAGGAGCAGATTAATTCTCCAGAGGGAATCCCCATCAAGGGGACTGGAGAATCCTTCTCTAAGTGGTGAAACAGATCTGGTAGAGATACGGTCAAGCATCTGTAGATCTCTTTGCACCTCAAGAAAACATACACAGCTCGTTGTTCTTCACGCTATCAGGAGACACACCACTGGGAGTGGACGTGCTAGCACACCTTTGGCCAAGGATGTTCCTTCACGCTTTTCCTCCCCTCAGGCTTATCTCTCATCTTGGTAGCCCCTCGATGGCAAGGCAAGCTCTGGATAGCGGAGATCATGCTCCTGCTATACGACAAGCCTTGGCAACTCCTGTTACGAAGGGATCTGCTGACCCAAGTGAACCAAGCCATTTTCCAACCTCACCCGGAAGCCATGGCCCTCTGGATGAGACAGGCTTGCCACTCAGAGTCATACAGACTATCCAGAGTGCTAGGGCCCCTTCTACATGCTCACTGTATGGAAATAAGTGATGCATTTTTAAGAAGTGTTGTGACCAAAAATAGATCATTCCTTACCAATGCTCTGTTATGTTGTTTCATGATGGAGGCATGTTGCATACGTCCAGTTCCCAAGCCTTTAGTCCCGTCATGGGATTTGTCAATTGTGCTTGAGGCTATTACACAGCTGCCTTTTAAGGCGTGGAGATGAAATGTCTCTCCTTTAAGACTGCTTTACTGGTCGTCCTTACGTCCACAAAGCCAGTGAATGTTAGTTCACCATTCATGCCTACAGTTTGCCTGGGGCTTTTCCAAGGTTACCTATTTGCCCAACCCTGCCTTTATGCCTAAGGTTAGCAGCAATTATAATTGTCTCGCCTTGGAGCTTGTGACTTTCCACCCGCCGCCTTTTCTTTCTATGTCCAGTATGCGCGTTGCGTTGGATAGGATGAGAGCTTTGCGCAAGAGCGACCAACTCTTTGTGTCCCCGGCATCTCCCTGTAAGGGGAGGCCCCTTTCTCGTCAACAGTTGTCACATTGGATTGTGAAAGCTAATATATTGGCTTATAATAGCAAGGGGTTACAGCCTCCGCAGGGCACAAGGGCTCACTCCACCAGGGGTATGGCACTGTTCAAGGGCATCTCCTTACAAATGTGTATGGTTGGTTATTCAAGCTACTTAGGAGATTCTGGTGAATCCCACTGTAAGATGTCTCACTCGTAATTTAAGAGAACCAGGGTTACTCAAGTAACCGTACGTTTTTGTTTGGAATACAATTAAAAGTGAAAAATCTGAGTCTCAACGTAATTCCATTTCCGTGGAATTGCCCCTCTTACTTTTAGTTTGGCTGTTAATACAACAGTATTCCAACTGGTGGGTTATTGTATAGAGATCCAATAATTCATGTAAGTATGTCATTCTATGGATTATTGTTCTTTCAAGCAGGCGACAGCCTGTCCGTCTGAGCATCGGCAACATGAGGTGGTTGTGTTGTATTAATATGTATCACTGTCTGCCAGTTGTCCTTGTGGTTTCACCATCTCTTTCTCTCTCTCCTTCTCGGTCTCCCTGTCTCCCTCTCTCTCTATTTCACTCTCTCTCTCTTTGCAGGGGCTCCAGGTCCAGTCAAATTCTGACGAGAATGGTCGGAAGCTCGGGGTCACATTCCGAACAGACAGTGAGTCTCTTTCTCTTTCTCTTTCTCTCTCGCTCTCTCTCTCTCTCTGTCGACTATTTAACATGGCCTTGCATGAAAACTGCCTGCCCTTTCCATTCCATACTAAAGTTGCCATTTTACCACCCCAAAAGTTGCCAATTCTCAGAGTCTCAGCCCCGACCAAACTTCGCCCAGCCACCCCCCACCAACAAGAAGTTAATATCTCGAGAAGTCAACGTTTTCTCTCCTGTAGCAAATCCTGATTTTCCCAGCAGTCAGCTGCTATTATCCATGACTGTCAGAGGGAACAGCTTTTCTGAAAAGCCCCTCTCTGGTTTAGCATCACAATTGACTGCAGCTCAGAGCCAGGGGGCGTGTGCGATACAGCCCGCTGCTCCTCTTCCTCTACCTGAGAGGACATAGGGATCATAGTCAAAAGAGATGGGGAGAGGAGGGGAGGGGGCAGCTCCTTGCATGGCTGCACATTCTTGTCCCCAGGCTTGGCTCAGAGAGAATCTCACCCACTCACCCGTCCTTCAGTCTTCATACATTTACATTTGAGTCATTTAGCAGACGCTCTTATCCAGAGCGACTTACAGTTAAGTGAGTGCATACATTTTCATACTGGCCCCCCGTGGGAATCGAACCCACAACCCTGGCGTTGCAAACGCCATGCTCTACCAACTGAGCTACATCCCTGCCGGCCATTCCTTCCCCTACCCTGGACGACACTGGCTAATTGTGCGCCGCCCCATGGGTCTCCCGGTCGCGGCCGGCTACGACAGAGTCTGGATTCGAACCAGGATCTCTAGTGGCACAGCTAGCACTGCGATGCAGTGCCTTACACCACTGCGCCACTCGGGAGACTTCATCCAGGGAGCCCTGTTCTGAGCTACCCATCATGCTCTCTGATCCCTCCTCTTTCTTCTCTTTAAGTTGGGGTGAGGGTGATTCTCTGTGCGGTAGAAGAGGAAGGGAGTAGTTTTAGGACTCTAAGCACTGCAAACAAGTTTAATTGTGACAATAAGGTTGTTTTGAATGTGAGAAATCACCAATCTCTCCATCTTTAACATACTCTCACTATGATATCTTCTTTCTAATCGTCTCTCCTCTGTTCTCCTCCGCCAGACTGCTCTGTGAACTGGAGTCCATTGGGGAAGCATGCCATCCATGGGGTGAACAATGTGACATTCAGCCACCTCTCCTGTGACAGCCAGGCTGCTGTGGTGGTCCACTGGATGCCCAGCCCTCTAGGTATGCATTACGCATTTAAATTCTTCCATATGATAAAAGAGAGTCGTTATACAGACTAGAGATCAATGGGAAAATCTAATCCAGTGTCTGTGAGGTTAGATATGAGCAGTCATTCCTAGTGAGTGGAAATCCGTGTCTAGAAGTTAGTGGTTAAATGTTTCTACCAAGATTGTTTTGGATAGATCATATTACATCTGGGAGACACTATAACATTTGAAAACCTCGGTATGTGTGTGGGGAGACACGTGTGCTTCCTACACCTGGTTGCACACAGGAGTCATTTATGTTTCCCCCAGTAGGCTTACTCTGCTACCCTGACAGTCACAGATCTGCCCCTCAGGGGGAAGGGAGGAGGAAGGGATCCATATCCTACACAACAACCCTGTGATTTGTCTGTGAAGAAATGTGTGTGCGTGCGCACGCACTGTGTGTGTTTTGTCTTAAGTGTCTCTGTTTGCACGCAATATGTGCATGCCTGTGTGTGTGACAGAGAGAGAGAGAGAGAGACTGACAGAAAGGAGGCTTCCTCCTCTTCTGTCTACTGAGGCGTTGCTGAAGCCTTGGCTGATCCTCAGGGCAATGTAGCCTGTTGTTCTCTAGGACAGGGGCACCACTGCTCAGGTAGAAGGTCAAAGAAAGAAGGGGGAAAATTAAATAAAAGGGCAGAAGAGAGAGAAAGAAAGAGAGAGCTGAAGCTACTGACGCCGGGAAAAAAACATGCCTGAAGACAGCCCAACCTGTCTGACAGCTTTTTCCTTCCAGTTTTTTCTCTCTCCTCTGTGTTTGTCTGTTGACGGTGATGCTGATGGTATCTGTGTGGCGGTAGAGGTAGAAGAGGTGAAGGACAGAGAGAAGAGGAGGAGGAGGAGGAAAGAGGAGGTGTGGAGTTACAGCCACCACAAAGAGGAGGCTCTTTCAGCTTCAAAGCGTGCACACACACAAACACACACACACACACACACACAGAGCCTCCTCTCCCCACAGAAGGTAATAGAAGCCACAGGGAATGTGTGTTTTCTGCCTCTGCTGCTGCCTTGGACTGATAAGGCAGAAATGTAATTAACGGGGAGGTGCGCTGGCACACTTTGAAGGGCACGGGAATGCTTCCTTGGCACGCAGACACCCTCCCTCTTGTCCTCTGCATACCTGGGTTCAAATACGATTCAAAATATATTTTAAATGCTTAGCTGTGCTTGCTTGAGCTTGCCTGTTGCTATGAATCAATAGAGAAGTCCTAAAAGTGCAAATCCTGCCTGCCTGGCACTCCAGACAGGCTAAAACAAACACTCAAAGTATTTGAAAGATTTAAAATAGTATCTGAACCCAGGTGGGGTCCTCTGCCAGGGCACAGCACAGCCTCTCTCCCCTGCCAGCTCATATTATGGTCTCTCATAAAAACGTGTTTGATACTATGCCCTTACCTCAAGCGTGTGTGAGCATGACTAGCTAATGTGTGTGGACTCCTACTTACTTCACAAACAACATCCGCTTCATAATTAGGATATACAGTATCTTAAAAGGTTTCCTCACAATATTTGTACTTCGGTCATGTTTTGGCCTAAATCCCTCCCTTTCCAGTTCTTATTCATTGTTTTGGGCCCCAGTTAATATTGTTTGTTTGTGATTTACGTAAGTTACCCTAGAAATGAAATTACAGTTGCTAACGGTAGAGGACATATTGTGACCTTGGGTTCTATCTGACATTTTGGTAAAATAAGTATTCATCTCCCTTGGCGTTTTTCCTATTTTGTTGCATTACAACCTGTAATTTAAATTGATTTTTATTTGGATTTCATGTAATGGACATACACAAAATAGTCGAAATTGGTGATGTGAAATTAAAAAAATTACTTGTTTAAAAAAATTCAAAAGAATACATAACGTAAAAGTGTTGCGTGCATATGTTTTCACCCTCTTTGCTATGAAGCCCCTAAGTAAGATCTGGTGCAACCTTCAGAAGTCACATAATTAGTTAAATAAATTCCACCTGTGTGCAATCTAAGTGTCACATGATCTGTCACATGATCTCAGTATATATACACCTGTTCTGAAATGCCCCAGAGTCTGCAACACCACCAAGCAAGCGGCACCATGAAGACCAAGGAGCTCTCCAAACAGGTCAGGGACAAAGTTGTGGAGAAGTACAGATCAAGGTTGGGTTATAAAAACATCTGAAACTTTGAACATCCCACAGAGCACCATTAAATCCATTATTAAAACATTGAAAGAATATGGCATCACAACAAACCTGCTACGAGAGGGCCACCCACCAAAATTCACGGACCAGGCAAGGAGGGCATTAATCAGAGAGGCAACAAAGAGACTAAAGATAACCCTGAAGGAGCTGCAAAGCACCACAGCGGAGATTGGAGTATCTGTCAATAGCACCACTTTAAGCCGTACACTCCACAGAGCTGGGCTTTACGGAAGAGTGGCCAGAAAAAAGCCATTGCTTAAAGAAAGAAATAAGCAAACCCGTTTGTTGTTCGCCAAAAGGCATGTGGGAGACTCCCCAAACATATGGAAGAAGGTACTCTGGTCAGATGAGACTAACATTGAGCTTTTTGGCCATCAAGAAAAACGCTGTGTCTGGCGCAAACCCAACACCTCTCATCACCCCGAGAACACCATCCCCACAGTGAAGCATGGTGGTGGCAGCATCATGCTGTGGGGATGTTTTTAATCGGCAGGGACTGGGAAACTGGTCAGAATTGAAGGAATGATGGATGAGGGAAACCTGTTTCAGTCTTCCAGAGATTTGAGACTGGGACGGAGGTTCACCTTCCAGCAGGACAATGACCCTAAGCATACTGCTAAAGTAACACTTGAGTGGTTTAAGGGGAAACATTGAAATGTCTTGGAATGGTTTAGTCAAAGCCCAGACCTCAATCCAATTGAGAATCTGTGGTATGACTTAAAGATTGCTGTACACCAGCGGAACCCATCCAACTTGAAGGAGCTGGAGCAGTTTTGCCTTGAAGAATAGACAAAAATCCCAGTGGCTAGATGTGCCAAGCTTATAGAGACATACCCCAAGAGACTTGCAGATGTAATTGCATTTGCGGGGGCGGGGGGGTGGGTGAATAGTTACGCACGCTAAGGTTTTCAGTTTTTTTGTGTTATTTCTTGTTTGTTTCACCCCAAAACATATTTTGCATCTTCAAAGTGCAAATAAATTCCATGTGTGTGAAGGCCAAATGGAAAAGCCAAGGGGGGTGAACCTTAGTGGCGCATGGTCTAAGGCACTGCATCGCAGTGCTACTGTTGCCACTAGATCCTGGTTTCGATCAGGCTCTGTGGCCCAGCGGCCCTAGCCGGGGCCTCATGGGCGGCTAGACAAGGACCAGGTCGACCAGTTGTGGGAGTGAAAGTTGGGCAGATTTACTCAAGTTCATAGAAATGCGTTGGCAACGCAGGTACGTGGGGGCCCCATGGGGGGGGCATATAAGGCAAAAAAAAAAGATACCTTGCAGCAAACCGTTTTCCAAGGCATGTGGAGACTCCCAAAATAATGGAAGGAAGGTACTCTGGTCAGAATGAGACTAACATTGAGCTTTTGGCCATCAAGACCAGGTTGTAAGGCAACAAAATAGGAAAAATGCAAGGGGGGTGAATACTTTCGCAAGCCACTGTATAGGTTGAATTTGTCCCAATACTTTTTGTCCCCTACTGTTGGGGGGACTATGTACAAAAATGTCTAAACGGTTCACCCAATATGGATGAAAATGCGCTCAATTTAAAGCTGACAGTCTGCACTTTAACCTCATAGTCATTTTATCATTTCAAATCCAAAGTGCTGGAACACAGAGCCAAAACAACAAAAAATGTGTCACTGTCCCAATACTTTTGGAGCTCTTTGTATGTCAGATTTGTAAAAATAAATTGTTTACCTTATTTACATAAGTATTCAGACCCTTTGCTATGAGACTTGAAATTGAGCTCTGGAGCATCCTGTTTCCATTGATCATCCTTGAGATGTTTCTACAACTTGATTGGAGTCCACCTGTGGTAAATTCAATTGATTGGACATGATTTGGAAAGGCACACACCTGTCTATATAAGGTCCCACAGTTGACACTGCATGTCAGAGCAAATACCACGCCATCAGGTCGAAGGAATTGTCCGTAGAGCTCCGAGGCAGGATTGTGTCAAGGCACAGATCTGGGAAAGGGTACCAAAACATTTCTGCAGCAAGGTCCCCAAGAACACAGTGGCCTCCTTCATTCTTAAATGGAAGAAGTTTGGAACCACCAACACTCTTCCTAGAGCTGGCTGCCTGGCCAAACTGAGCAATCGGGGGAGAAGGGCCTTGATCAGGGAGGTGACCAAGAACCCGATGGTCACTATGACAGAGCTTCAGAGTTCCTCTGTGGAGATGGGAGAACCTTCCAGAAGGACAACGATCTCTGCAGCACTCCACCAATCAGGCCTTTATGGTAGAGTGGCCAGACGGAAGCCACTCCTCAGTAAATTGCACATGACAGCCCGCTTGGAGTTTGCCAAAAGGCACCTAAAGGACTCTCAGACCATGGGAAACAAGATTCTCTGTTCTGATGAAACCAAGATTGAACTCTTTGGCTTGAATGCCAAGCGTCACGTCTGGAGGAATCCTGGCACCATCCCTACGGTGAAGCATGGTGGTGGCAGCATCATGCTGTGGGGATGTTTTTCAGCGGCAGGGACTGGGAGACTAGTCAGGATCGAGGGAAAGATGAACGGAGCAAAGTACAGAGAGATCCTTGATGAAAAGCTGCTCCAGAGCGCTCAGGAACTCAGACTGGGGTGAAGGTTCACCTTCCAATAGCACAACGACCCTAAGCACACAGCCAAGACAACGCAGAAGTGGCTTTGGGACAAGTCTCTGAATGTCCTTGAGTGGCCCAGCCAGAGCACGGACTTGAACCCGATCTAAAATCTCTAGAGAGACCTGAAAATAGCTGTGCAGTGACGCTCCCCATCCAACCTGACAGAGCTTGAGAGGATCTGCAGAGAAGAATGGGAGAAACTCCCCAAATACACGTGTGCCAAGCTTGTAGCGTCATACACAAGAAGACTCGAGGCTGTAATTGCTGCCAAAGGTGCTTTAACAAAGTACTGAGTAAAGGGTCTGAATGTGATATTTCAGTTTTTCTAAATGTCTAAAAAACTGTTTTTGCTTTGACATTGAGGTATTGTGTGTAGATTGATGAGGGGAATAAATAAAAAAAATCAATTTTTAGAATAAGGCTGTAATGTAACCAAATGTGGAAAAAGTCAAGGGGTCTGAATACTCTCTGAATGCACTGTAAGTGTTACTTTGACCCTGTTCTTGCCTAGTAATCTATAGGCCTACATAGGCTACTGTAAAATGCATTTGAGGTTTTCTTGGAATAGAAACACCATAATATTAATCAAATTAATTAAGCTAAAATATCAGAAATTCATTTTAAGGAATAAAGGCCAGGATCATCTTATTTTCATAATCAAAGAGAATATCTTACATAATCTCAAACTGCAGCGGTCAAATGATGTGTGCAAAGAAGCAAGCACCAAGAGAGAAAAACACGTGTGAAAGCTTATTTTACATAAAGAATATTAGTGGTACTATAGCCATAATATCACAAGAGAATTGAGAATGGAACAAGAATTGAATGAGTCACATTTGAATTGAAACGACCGAATGTCGGCCTTTAACCATCCAAATATTTTATACAATATTCTGCCCTTATTTCTATTTTTGAAGGACTTGTATTAACGGATGTTTTAGGTACAGTAGGCTATAGGCCTACATAGGCAACTGTAAAATGCATTTAGTTATAGAAACATACAAAATTCATTAATATTATAGAAACACCATAATATTAATCAATTCAATTGACCCCACTGGTGGTTTGATCGAGCATTAACGGCAAGCACGTAAAGCACTGGACCATACCACAGCATACCGCACACTATACTGCTGTATGACTCAACTTTTAATTGAGGACCTTCTGTTTATGATATGTGGGGGATAGTGTCATGGGTGTGGTAGTGTTTGTGGTGATGTTTTGCTGTAATCTGACATGGGTGCATTTTTGTCAGCGATTGAATGTGTAATTGTTGTTTCTATTCAGGTATTGAACGTGTGTATTGTCTGTGTGTGTCATTCTGTCCAGGTATTGAGCATGTGAAGGGCTTCAGAGTATACCTGGAGGATAAGAACCCAGAGAGGAAACAGTGTCAACACGTGATCCTCAAAGACCCACGACAGCTCAACTTCTCCTACAAGAATGTGGTAAGTCTGACCAAAGACACAGCTAACAGGGTTTTTTTTCTTCCATGCACCTGGAGGTAAGGTGTGAGAACTAGCTTAGTTTCCTGTCAGATTTCTCTGAAATATAAAATGCACAATAAGACAAGCTCAAGTCTTACCAGGTTATGTGTTTGGGTGCTGTAGCCCTTCAAAGACTTGATGACCGAAACACATCTATTGTGACTGCTGATAATAAATCAAAGTAATATGAAGAAAAAAAATGGCTGACTTTTCCCCTGAAGTATGCCTTGTTATTCCCTGACAGAAGATGAGCTCACAGGCCTTCCCTGGCCTGGCTTTCGAGACAGACTACATGGTCCGCATTGTTCCCTTCCCCACCTTCATGAACGACAGCTTCTTCCCCCCATCCTTCCTGCGTACAAACTGTAAGTGGAATGCAGCTCAAACTGCAGGCCCTAGTTGTAGGCTATAACTAGAGCCCAGAGTTAAGTCACTACCACCAACTTTAAGTGGAATATCAATAAAGCCAGGACTAGGGACAGGAGTTTTTCTTGATCTGATCGGGAGGAAAACTCTTGGCCCTATTGATAACGTTGTAGCTAACAGTAATTGTAATAGTAGTGTAACTGTTGTTGAAGACTCCTGTTATAACCTGTTGTCTTTCTTGTTTGTTTTCAGCCTGTGAAGTTCTACTGGGCCCAGACAACCTGGTCTGCAAACCATGTAAGTTATCAAGTTTCCCATATCTGTGTAGTAATGCTGTAGTTACTCTAGTAACAACATTGTGTTAACATGTAATATATTGTGTAACAGTAATATTATATCCTAATTGTTTTGTAATTGCATAGAAATGGAGTTGAGTGAAAGCTACTGTTTATTGAAATACTGTTATGAAATAATTTTGTGAAAAATAATGATTATGGATGAAACCACCAGAAATCCCTATAAATGCCCATTTGCTCATATACATGGTTTAATGTCTGTCCTGTCCTGTCCTGTCTGTCTTGTCTGTCTTGTCTGTCTTGTCTGTCTGGACCAGTCTGGAAGCCCAAGACTCTCAACATCTCCCAGCTGGGCTCCAACCTCCATGTTGTCTTCGACCACGCCCCCTCAACCTTCGGCTTCGCCATCTACTACCTGTACTACAAGCTACGACAGGAGGGACCCTTCAGGCTTAAACGCTGCAAACCAGTAAGAGCAGGATTACATTATGTGATGGCCACATAGTTTTTACTGGTAAGGCGTCGCAAAGGGTGCTGATCTGCCCCAATGTCCATATAGTCTCATTCATTATTATCTTAAAGGTAAAATCCGAGATAAGCATTCCTACCTACTCTGAGATTTTTTTTAAATATGGACCCTGAGCTGCTTCTAATGTGTTTCCCAGACATTGAGGAGGATATAGTACGGTTATGGTATGTTGACGTGTCTTGGCCTCGGCCCCTTTCTACCGGGCCCCTACCGGCTGGGCCTCTCTCTGACATCCTATGACCGCCTGGGACACATCCATGGACTATCCTACTTTCACTCAGTCAGTCAGTGACAGTCAGAAGCACTCTGAGGTAGACCAGGGTTTACATGCTATTTGAAATCATTTCAAATACTTTACCTGTGCTTGGTTTAAGTTTACCTGTTGAAATCGAACCATTAGAAAAGTCCCAAAGGTGCAAACCCTGACCATCTGACAGGCTAAAGCAAAAGCAAATCATATTTGAAAGGATGTGTTTGAACCCAAGTCTGGTCAGACCCACTCTGAGTTCCTGAAGATTTTCCCAGCAGAACATAACTTCATTATTCAGGGCTGGAGGAGAGAAGAGTCTCTCTCTCTCATATGTTGCCAGAACAGACATCACTTTGTATCCAGGATGCATAGTTTTAGCTGTGGAGAGAAAGAGTAAAGCATATAATCTCCCCTGTTCCTCCTATAGTCAGTCAAGTCTTCTAGCTGGCCCTGCGCTACTCGTTCTGTCTTTGAACAATGATAAAAGCCCCCCTAGCTAGCTCTAGATCTCAATTCAGATACTCTCTTCTCACATACTGTGTTTAGAAACGGGACCTGCTTAGGTCATCAACAATGTGATTGGTTAAGAGGTGAAAAAATAAACTATTATGATGTCAGTATTCCAAACCCTCAGTCAGAAATGCATGAGACTCCTCAGCTCTGGGCATTGTATCACTACAGAAACAGCATGATAATAATGCACTCTTCTACTCTATTTTTGCAAAGGAGTTTAATCTGCCCATAACAACATGCGTTCTTCAAGATGTGATACCAGGAACCTATGCGATTGAGGTAAAGATTGATTCTCATGACTCTGGCTAAAAGTAGTAGACTATAGGAAATAATAAGGTGCTATTGTGGACGCACCACTGATATAAACCATGAAAAAAACCAAATAAGCCATCTCTGCTGACTCATATTTCCTTCCATACGTCTTTTGTCCTTCAGCTGAGAGATGACACCAACATTACCAGAAGACAGGCCCAGTACCACGTAAGCCAAGGTGAGCTGAGCTGCCTGCTACTAGCTAACATCACAGTCTTGCATCTGGACTGACACCCTCTTACTAAACTCACATTACATTACATAAGCCTGGATGACTGGGGAGTTGCCCAAGTCTTCTAGGTGTTTATGTTCACTTTGATGAGTAAAAGCAAATGGACAATTCTTTGGAAATGTATTTGCTTGTTTGTACATGTCTTTCTGTCTGTTGTCCGTGTCAGTCCACTCCCCGTGGGCAGGTCCTATCAGAGCCATGGCCATCACTGTCCCTCTAGTCATCATGTCTGCCTTCGCTACACTCTTCACTGTAATGTGCCGGAAGAAACAACAAGGTACTTTTCTTTATTCATAATAATAAAACGTTTTACATTCAGGGCTCTATTTTCGGCTGGCATTAAGCCAGTGCAATTGTCAAATGCAATTTTGACCTGTTAAAGCTGGCACTCTTCTATTTTCAACCCCTAGCACCACGATTGGTAATTTACCAGTCTTATATGAGCTCGCTTGCGCTGAGGTGGGATGGGTGGCAATGTCTGAGGTGTGTCCTTAAAAACATGCGCCAAAGTGCCAATTTCAGTATACGCTGGTGGGGATATTTAAGACCAACCAAAAGCTGGTCTTAGCGGTAACGTGGTTGGTTATGGTGTGGATTTTGACAGTGGAAGCGCAGCCTATCCAGCCGTGACGTACAATGCCCATATGCACATGGAACAAGAGAGATGTGCTTTTTGTGCACATAACCCTTGTATTTAGAAACATAAAAAACAAATGTTTTTTTCCCATTTTGTTTTATTTGATTATAAACCAAGCATAGCCTCCCCTCCTCTCAATGAAGTCAGTTTTTTTTGTCATGCCCACTGCATTCGCCAAGTAGTCAAGACTATCGATAAAGCGTTTGGCTCGTGAGACTGCATTGAAATAATTCTTAATCACCAAAGCTGTATTAAAAGATCAAGTTTGGCAGCAGCAAAACAGTGAGTGGACATCCCCTTTTTATCTATGTAGGCTATTGCATTATTTTAGCCAGCTCGTTATTATTTTTGGATGTGCGTAGAAAACCCTCCATGTAGGCTATATGCCCATCATGGAACGAGAAATTAGATAATCCGGTGACACTAGTATTTAGAAACATTTAACTTATTTTCCTATAACAATTGCTTGTTTTCCATTTTGTTTCATTAAAACAGCCCTTTGTAGGCTAGTAGGCTACTAGAACGAAAGCTGGATCAACAGCAATCCGTCAGGTGTTCTTCTTATCCTGGACATGGATTAGCCAAGTAGCCTATCCATAAAAGTTTTTAAAATTGTCTACTTGTGAGGCTTTTGACAACATGCTTTTGCATTATTCACAATTCACATAGGCCTACTTGCAGTGCATACTCCAATTCGGCTTGGATCCATCCCATTTCCAAAGAGCGCCTCCTGTTCCATTACCAAAGATGTGCTCCTTCAAACAAAGGCTATAAAAAAATGTCAAAGTCAAAGTCCTATAATATCAATTGTAGGCCTAGGCTACAGTATATCTTGCCTATTGAGAACGTTACGTGCCTCACACATACAATAGAATTTACAGGAGCCTAGTATTTTTATTTGAGGAGATGCCTAAAGGTCTACACTCGTTGAAGCCAATTAGCCAATTACAACAATATTGACTGTCAACACTCCAAAGATATTGAGCAAACACTAGATGTTATTTTTTTTACTATTGCTATCACTCATTACTGTAGCCTATGCTTTTTAATAAACTTTAGCAGCCTATCAGTCCACAATGGACTAGGATGAGAATATTTCGTGCCCCCAGCCGAATTGGAGTTGATGACAACGCAAAGACCATCAATAACCTACCGAACTTGAGACAAATGCATGCAGTATTAAGCCATGAAATGCCTTGATTGGCCAATGAGTGGCCAAGCCCTCGTCACACCTACAACTTGTTTATTCATCAAAACCCATCCCTTTCACACCACAGTCAGCTATTGTGCTCATAATAACGGCTGTTAAAATAGCAAAAATATTTCTGACACACCCCTGGACCTATAGCGCTACCACCAGCACTTAGATTTACCACCGAGTGGCGCAGTGGTCTAAGGCACTGCATCGCAGTGCTAGCTGTGCCACTAGAGATCCTGGTTCGAATCCAGGCTCTGTCGTAGCCGGCCGCGACCGGGAGACCCATGGGGCGGCGCACAATTGGACCCTGCGTCTTCCAGGGTAGGGGAGGGAATGGCCGGCAGGGATGTAGCTCAGTTCGTAGAGCATGGCGTTTGCAACGGGGGGCCAGTATGAAATAAATAAAAAATAATGTATGCACTCACTAACTGTAAGTCGCTCTGGATAAGAGCGTCTGCTAAATGACTAAAATGTAAATGTAAACGTTTGTTAAAAAAGAGCCCCTCAGTCTACATTCTGTCTATTTACGGAATCTACCTTTTAAAAAAATCAGTATTCCAACATTTACAAATATTAGTAGACGTTTAGTAGAATAGGCCAATGCATTTCCCTTCATCTTTCTTTATTGTATTCATATTGTATTAATACTGTATATTGTGTTGTACCTATCGATCTGTGCAGAGAATATCTACTCCCATCTGGATGAGGAGAGCTCTGAGTCATCGTCACACACCACAGCTCTGAATGCAGACAGACCCTGGCCCCGGACTAAGGTGTTTGTCTGCTACTCCTCCAAGGACTGCCTCAAACACCTCACAGTCATACAGAGCTTTGCCTTCTTCCTCCAGGACTTCTGTGGTTGTGAGGTAGGAACTAACCTTCCAAAATAATGCTCCTTCAAGCACAAAACCTTTTTAGCTAGGTTATAGCTCCTCAGCTTAGCTCTATTAAGGGTTGGCTCAGGCCAGAGAATTGAATGTGATGGAGGTTGGGGTTGGGAATGGAAATCAGGAGTGTGTGTTTTGTGCCACCTGCTGGTTGATCCCATGAAGTGTGTGACTTCATAGTTGTTGAATTAGTAGTAGCAGCAGCATATATTTGATAGGAATGGCTCAGTAACAGTCTCGTCCACCAGCCTGATCTGATGAGTTTAGCTCAGTACATGCTCAAAAATAGTATTACTATTCTGTATTATATTATATTAACCCATAATAGTAACAATGATGACAATATACAATCGGAATCTGAGTACGTCTGTATGTGGTTGTGTTAGCACTGGCGGTGATATTATAGTTTAACCCCTCCCCATTCCATCCCCCTGTTCCTATTTTATATCCCAGGTGACTCTGGACCTGTGGGAGCACCTGCAGATCTGTAAGGAGGGGCAGATGACCTGGCTGAGCCGGCAGATTGACGAGGCTCACTACATCATCACTGTCTGCTCCAAGGGCCTCAAGTACTATATAGAGAAGAAGAGCCGCAGGGGGAAATCACCAGCCAGAACTAGTGGAGGTGATTGATAGGTTTATTTTTGACTGATTGTTTGATTGATTATATTTATTTGACAATTGAAAACCAAAAGTGTCCAAAACATTGTCAGACCTCTACTGCGTTAACAACGGCAGTTACAACGGGTGTCCTTTTGGTTATGTTAAGTTGAATAAATACATATACAGCCAGTACATGCATTTTAAAAAACGATCAAGGATAACACAATAAAGTCACTGACTTAATTGTTCATTGTTTTTTTTGGGGTGTAGGAGGAGGAGCAGCAAACGGATCAGAGCTCTTCATTGTCGCCGTGGCCATGATTGCTGAGAAGCTCTGTGAGGCGCGCCAGAAAGACCAGGACCTGTCTCGCTTTATGGCCGTCTACTTCGACTACTCCCACGAGAGCGACATCCCGACTATGCTGAGCCTCGCTCCCAGGTTCAAGCTCATGAACCAGCTCCCTCAGATGTTCAGCCGCCTCCACTCCCGCCAGCTCAGTTTACCGGAACGCCAGCCACAGCCGCTCAACATCAGCAAGAGGAACTACTTCCGGAGCAAGTCGGGGCGGTCTCTATACGTGGCCATCTGCAACATGCACCAGCACATCTCGTTGGAGCCTGATTGGTTCGAGAGGCAGCTGAAACCCGCTCCACCGCGCCTCCGAAGCAACGTGACACTGCCGGAGCGTCATCGTCATCATCATCATCATCGCCTCACATGGAGAAGTTTGACTCTGGGCTGGTGCTCAACGAGGTTCTGTTTAAGTTGCCATCAGAAAGCGAGGGTTACTCTGAAGAGGAACGTGCTGCTCACGTCTCTCCCTCCCAGCCTCAGCCTGGCCCACTGTTCCCTGGACAGACCTCACATGGAGAAGTTTGACTCTGGGCTGGTGCTCAACGAGGTTCTGTTTAAGTTGCCATCAGAAAGCGAGGGTACTCTGAAGAGGAACGTGCTGCTCACGTCTCTCCCTCCCAGCCTCAGCCTGGCCTTCTCTCAGGGGAAAACTGGGGGCACATCAGGGGCCTCATCTGGTTTGGGACCTCTGGGTCTGGGGTCTCTGAGGCCTGTCGTCCCTTCCCAGGATGGAGACGGGTCAGCCAGTCCCCCAGAGATGCCCCGGGACTCTGGGATCTATGATTCCTCAGTGCCCTCATCTGAGCTGTCCATCCCCCTCATGGAGGGCATGTCACCTGACCAGGCTGACTCCTCCTCCCTGGCCGACAGCGAATCATCTTCTTCCGGACTGGGTAAGAGACCAATGATGTTGTATGTCTAAAAATGCCTACAATTATATATGACATTTTCACTTGCTAAATAGTAAGTGGTCATGAACCATAAGTCAAATTGAGAATGAGTCAGATTTGAAGCCCTATGCCTAAATATGCCTGAAATTATGCTGTATGACATTTTCACATTTAAATACAGTAGGACTGATAATGAACCATGAGTCAGATTAAGAATGAGTCATTTGAATCGGATTCGGAGATGATTCAGTCAGATGAGTCAGAGTGACATCATTTCAGACATATTTGTTAATCCACTCCTTACTCATCTCCACCACTGGTTGTTTCTATTCCACCATTAGTACCATTTAGGGTTGCAAAACTACCGTTAATTTAACAAAGTTACCGTAATCTTCTGTCATTTTGGTAATTAGCAGGTAATCAATGGCCATCTATGGTAACTTTGGTAATTTATACTTGAATAACTTTTTTTTTTAAATAGTATTAATTGTTTATATATGTGTCCAAATTGTCCATGAGTTTCTAGTGGATAGACCAAATGGTTCAAGAGAAAATTGCCTAATTAATGAAAAAAGCATCTAATCAACAATGGCATTTTCAATTAAGTCTGCAACTCTTCCAACTATTGACTTTTTTCACAACTGCCACCAGTTTGTCACCAAAACATATACATCAAAGACATATTGACATAGTAAAATAAATAAAAGTGTGTCACATTTTTTAAAAGGATATTTCCTGCTGAACCCTCATATTAAACACCAATGGTGTTCTCTAGTGAAGTCCTGTGTTTGTTGTGTTGTGTTGTTGTGCCTCCTAACTATTCTGAATATCTCTTAAATCGTGTGTGTCTGTTATCGCCAGGTGATGAGGAGCCCCCTGCTGTCCGCTCTCTGCGCTGTGCCGTGCCCACCATCTGTAAAGCTGAGCCACACCACCACCATCTAGAGCAGTCTGAAGGACAGGGACTCACTCCTGTTGCTGTTCCTCCCTTGTAGTGAACTTAACATTACATTACCTGGACATGCATGGCCACTTTAATGCCTTCATTAACACGGCCTTGATTCTGACCCAGAATAATACTAGCTATCTACTCATTGGATCCCATATGAACAGTGTACAGTGACCAAGCCCATGGATTCTAGTGATGTCATCTGCTTCAGAATCTCTGTGGACTGTGGGCTGATAGAACACGGAAGAATGATGATGTCACTGTTTTAGAACATCGAGGGTGATGTCACTGTTTTGTGAACCTTCTAAGTGGCAGTAGCAGTTGTCTGGGGTTGTGTGACTGTGAAGGCAAGGCATTATTTAACCAAATGGTTTTATGTTGTTTTGCAGCGCTGTCCTGTAATTGTTAGTGGTGTAAAGGTGTTTAATTTAGACTACACCAGATCTGCCTTTTAAAACACCCCACCCCATACCAGGTTACCAGTTCATCAAATGGCCGACTTCAATGTTTCTCAATTCTGGTCCTCTGGTGCGTCGAAGAGGTTACACATTTTTGTTCCAGCCCAGCACAAACACACCTGTTTCAACTCCTCTACTAATAATCAAACCCATGATTACTTGAATCTGGTGTGTTAGTGCTGGGCTTGAACACAAATGTGCGACTTCAACGATGTAGTTTGTTTCATACTGGGACAATGATGTTTTGATTGAAAGAGCATTTGTTTGTATGTTACTTTATTTTAATTTATTGTCAATGATGAAATATGAAATAACTTTTTAAGGTACAGTACACCAACATAAGGATACAAGGTGCTGGAGTGTCAAAGCACTTTTACTTGTTTTTTTTAATGTAATTTTCGCACCAATTTGGTTTACTAATAGAAAAGGTTTGACAACTCTTGTGGAAGAGGTCAGATATGTTGGGAGTACTCACACTTTTTATCATATTTTTGAAACCAGCAGTTATGCAAATGTTATCTCACTCACAGTAATTGACAGGGGTTTGATTTTAGGAGCATTTTCATTTTATAAACTAAATGCCTTTATTTGAAACTTGGGAAATATACTGTTATTCAACTCTTACAGAGCAAAATGTAACCCAGGCTTTGTGGGTCTACTCCAGTGTATGTTCCAACAATGTTTCCAGTGCCAGTCATTTTGACAACACTTTCTTTGTTTTTGGAAATAATCTGTTTTATTCCAGTTTTGTATAGTTTTTAGATTATTTGTTTTATTCTACATTATATATATACACTTTGTACTGTTTTATAGTACTCAAATGTAGGAAATAAGCATAAAATGAAATGAATTGTAATTAGTTCATTATTGAAGCCTCGGACAACCAGGTCAAGGAGACGAGATTTAGAAGGATGACTCGGCGAGACAAAACATTTTCCTGCTCAAAGTGTGTAACTAAACATGTCATTGCAAGAACACAATCTGTAATATCATTTACACCCTTTAGATGGCAACATAGATGTATATTTGATATCTGCCCAGTTGAAGTAGTATTTGTAGTGGTAGTCCAATCGAGTGAGCAACTGATTTCACCAGTAGCACTGTGCCAAGTGCACCTGCAAGTGTACTTGTAAGTCCAAGGTCAAGATACAAACTGGTAGTCAAAATACAATGTAGCCTATTGCATGTTTTAGTAACTGTCAAATGTGGTGTGATAATGATTGGGATAGAAACCTTTATAAAACATGTTTTTTCCCCCAAACCCACTTCCCCAACCCCTACATTTAAGTCACATGTTAGTTTGCCTATTATAAACATTATGGCTTGCATTAGAGTGACAGTCAGTCAGCACTGCTCAAGTTCAGTAGCAATATGGAAAGTTTATCCATTATGAATCTACATTTTTTAGATTGTGTAGATTATCTTCCCATGGTGAATAGACTACTATTCAAAAGAGAAAATCACTGTAAAAAGAGGATTCGAAATCACACCGACGACTTCACTTCCTGTAGGCCTACTTGGTGCTGAGTACTGCAGGGATCATCAACTAGATTCAGACACGGGGGCTGGAACATAATTACAGATAATTTGACTGCAAACCTTGCTTACATTTGTATACGATCACGTGTCTCTCTATTATGCGTGGGAATACATGGGAACAGATTTCCTAAATTAAAATCACTTGGAGCAGATGTCCAACAATGGAAATTCTAGAAAACAAACATTATTTTTATTTCTTATTCTTTTTTGCTCAGAAAACTTTGGGAGCCAAATAAATCCACTGGCCGCCAGTTGGGGAACCCTGCTGTACTGTATTATCTCACAAAAAAACACCTTGGTCACACACACACACAAGGTAAAAGTAGTTTTATATTGGATATTCAGTGGATATTCGGTTTTCTCTCGTCAACAGCTATTGAACCAAGCATGCCAATGACTATGAAAATTGTATATTCTGAATCGGGTGCATGGAGAACAAAAATATACACTGCTCAAAAAAATAAAGGGAACACTTAAACAACACAATGTAACTCCAAGGCAATCACACTTCTGTGAAATCAAACTGTCCACTTAGGAAGCAACACTGATTGACAATACATTTCACATGCTGTTGTGCAAATGGAATAGACAACAGGTGGAAATTGTAGGCAATTAGCAAGACACACCCAATAAAGGACTGGTTTTGCAGGTGGTGACCACAGACCACTTCTCAGTTCCTATGCTTCCTGGCTGATGTTTTGGTCACTTTTGAATGCTGGTGGTGCTTTCACTCTAGTGATAGCATGAGACAGAGTCTACAACCCACACAAGTGGCTCAGGTAGTGCAGCTCATCCAGGATGGCACATCAATGCGAGCTGTGGCAAGAAGGTTTGCTGTGTCTGTCAGCGTAGTGTCCAGAGCATGGAGGCGCTACCAGGAGACAGGCCAGTACATCAGGAGATGTGGAGGAGGCCGTAGGAGGGCAACAACCCAGCAGCAGGACTGCTACCTCCACCTTTGTGCAAGGAGGAGCAGGAGGAGCACTGCCAGAGCCCTGCAAAATGACCTCCAGCAGGCCACAAATGTGCATGTGTCTGCTCAAACGGTCAGAAATAGACTTCATGAGGGTGGTATGAGGGCCCGACATCCACAGGTGGGGGTTGTGCTTACAGCCCAACACTGTGCAGGACGTTTGGCATTTGCCAGAGAACACCAAGATTGGCAAATTCGCCACTGGCGCCCTGTGCTCGTCACATATTAAAGCAGATTCACACTGAGCACATGTGACAGACGTGACAGAGTCTGGAGACGCCGTGGAGAACGTTCTGCTGCCTGCAACATCCTCCAGCATGACCGGTTTGGCGGTGGGTCAGTCATGGTGTGGGGTGGCATTTCTTTGGGGGGCCGCACAGCCCTCCATGTGCTCGCCAGAGGAAGCCTGACTGCCATTAGGTACCGAGATGAGATCCTCAGACCCCTTGTGAGACCATATGCTGGTGCGGTTGGCCCTGGGTTCCTCCTAATGCAAGACAATGCTAGACCTCATGTGGCTGGAGTGTGTCAGCAGTTCCTGCAAGAGGAAGGCATTGATGCTATGGACTGGCCCGGCCGTTCCCCAGACCTGAATCCAATTGAGCACATCTGGGACATCATGTCTCGCTCCATCCACCAACGCCACGTTGCACCACAGACTGTCCAGGAGTTGGCGGATGCTTTAGTCCAGGTCTGGGAGGAGATCCCTCAGGAGACCATCCGCCACCTCATCAGGAGCATGCCCAGGCGTTGTAGGGAGGTCATACAGGCATGTGGAGGCCACACACACTACTGAGACTCATTTTGACTTGTTTTAAGGACATTACATCAAAGTTGGATCAGCCTGTAGTGTGGTTTTCCACTTTAATTTTGAGGGTGACTCCAAATCCAGACCTCCATGGGTTGATAAATTTGATTTCCATTGATCATTTTTGTGTGATTTTGTTGTCAGCACATTCAACTATGTAAAGAAAAAAGTATTTAATAAGATTATTTCATTCATTCAGATCTAGGATGTGTTATTTTAGTGTTCCCTTTATTTTTTTGAGCAGTGTATATACGATTTCGGATTTCAATCTTCAATAGCTCTTAAACAAAGCGTACTATCCCTATGAAAATGATATATTCTGAATCAAGGGAGGTTGGAGAAAAACCTACACCTTAATTTCTTATGTTTTTTATTTTTCGAATTTCAATCTTAAATAGCTCTTAAAGTGTGCCATGACTATGAAAATGATATATTCTGAATCAGGGGAGGCAGGAGAAAAATCCACACTTAATTTTTTGACCTTTTGATTATTATTATCGGATTTCAATCTTCAATAGCTCATAGCCCTTTACACGAGTTGAAAATGTCCGATTTTGACACTGATAAGCTCCTAAATCGGAACGCAGTGGCTGTACAGTAACATGCTATACATGACATCAGAGCTCAGGGTCTCCGCTTCACAGCTCTGAATGGGTTTTGACTGACAGATGTTCTGAACTTGAGCACCGCGCGTGACAAGAAGTTGCCCCGATCCCTCCTGCTAATTGAGCAACCTTTGCAAATGTTTTGTTGTCGGAGTGAGGGAAATGCTGTAAATTACGAGGACTCAATGTATTTTGTAAGATGAGATGTTGAGGATTATACTAAATACAGCTTTGATGTCATACAAGCAAGCCAAACACCGTGTGTCCAAATGTGCACTTTATATTTCCATATCATAAAACTCATGTCATATACAGTGGCAACATTTATGATCACTATGTTTGGTGTAAAGTTACAAGATGACATAGTGTTATACCTTGGGTTGTCCTGAACAGAATGAGCCTATGTTTGCTTGTTGTAATGTATACTTTAGGTATTGTATATGTAACTGAACTAAATGACTATCGCCCCGTAGCACTCACTTCTGTCATCATGAAGTGCTTTGAGAGGCTAGTTAAAGACCATCTCACCTCCGCCTTACTGACACCCTAGACCCACTACAATAAGCAATATCGCCTGAACAGATCCACAGACGACACAATTGCCATTGCACTGCACATTGCCCTATCCCACCTGGACAAGAAAAAATCATATCTAAGAAT